GTATGAGAGAAAACGGAATGACCGAAAACGGAATGGCCTACGAAGCTAGTTGGTTGCACCGTTTCCGCTCTTAAATTGTCGCCGACAATTACTCATTCGCGAACGTGAATTGAGTATATTAGCTTTATCCCATGTCCATTTCGCTAACGAAATATGCAGATATATGTACGTATCTACGCCTATACAGGTGACATATGGAAGAATATCTATTTTCCATAGTTATACATATATGTAGGAATTCAAAAGATAAATAGTTTTCTACTAATTTGCCTCAAATTATTTATGTATATGACCAGATCGGGCCGTGGTAAATCAAAATATGGCATTGGTAGTGTTTTGCCCGTGAATGAGTGTTCTGCAGTCTGTACCATCCGACTGCAAAATTGTTAGTTATTTTAAATTTAAGTTGATTTTCTGAGAGTGTCATAAAATATTAAGAGCTTAGAGCGATAGAGATGGAGATACAGAGAGAGAGAGAGAGAGAGAGAGAGAGAGAGAGAGAGAGAGAGAGAGAGAGAGATAGACAGTTGTCAATGCTGACCAAGAACATTTGGAGCTTGTAATGTGAATCGCAGTCTTCAGGCAGAAACCTGCAGAGACAAAAACTGGCTATCTATAAAAAATTGTAATACGGGCTACCAACATGTGTTTCCACACATATAGCTAATATAGAAAGTGAAAGGATCTGTTTGTTTGAAGAATCTGAATTGAAATTGAATTGTTGTTGTTGTAGAGGCAAAAAGTTGCATCCGTTCAAATGCTGCTATACATGGCTGATATTAATGATATAATCAAGCCCAGAGTCTGGGTCAGGGTCCGAGTTGCGAGGGGATGGTGAGTGGTGTGTGACAGCCCCCTTCTCAAGTTCTTTCCAAGTCGGGAATCATTAAGCTGAATTTACAAGCCAAAATTAGCCATCAGTGCATTGGGGAATCAGATTATACAAGATTAACCCAATGTCTTATATTCATTTCGTTCTAAAGGGTTCATGCTATCGCTAAATATGCTAGGCACGTCGGCGATCCAATAAGAAGCGGAGTCCAATAAGAATCACGGTCCCTGAGTAAAAGCTTTTCTTACCGCTGTCATCGCCATTCGCTGAGGACGACGTCGTGGGTAGGCGTCGCGTTTGGAACTGGCGCCGCAGCGCATAGCTGGCCGCTTGGAATTTGTGCTGCTTGTCGGGGCTGGCGTTGATGTTGCTGGCGCTGCTTGTTGCTGGCGACAATGTTGCCAGGGGCAATGTTGCCGACGAGCTTTTGAGCTTGCTGAAGTAGCTGTTGTTGTTGTTGTTGTTGCTGTTGCTGTTTCGGCTTGTTGTTGCCGTCGTCGTTGTAATTGCGGTGGCAGCTGCCGAGTCTGGCCTGCTGCGCAGTCGATTGTATTTAGAGGTCGTCGCCAGCTCTGCTACTTGCGTGGTTGGCTCAGACGCCGCCGTCGGCGTGTTGATTATTCGCCTGCGCACGCTCAGCACCGGACGACGCGAAGCGTTGCCAGCATTGTAGCTGGGACTGAAAGTCGCTGAGGCTGACGCTGAGGCCGTCGCAGTCGCCGTCGCCGTCACAGTCGGAGCTGGCGTTGGAGTGGAAGGCACAGTTTGTGTGCGCAGCTGCCAGTGGAAAGATGTTGATGGGACGATCGATGGGCAAACATGAAATGAAGCGAGCAATGGGAATTGGATATTCTCGATTAGTAATGCAAAATGTCAAGCCGAGTTGAGTTCAAATTCACATTCGATCGGTACTCTGCAATCATCACTTGCGTGTCGGTGCTTTTGTCGTGTGTTTTCGGTGTCTTTGTGTGTGTGTGTGTGTGTGTGATATTTTTGTGCGTTCATAAATTGTTGGTGTTTCTGTGATCGCAATATCAAGAAATCCGCGCGGTGCAGTCAACAGCAATCTAGAAAAGCAAGCTACATGCTCAACAATTAAATAATTATTTATATATGTATAGGTGTATATAGTATATATGTACAATGTGTAATATTAACCATTTTAGATATAGCTCAATAATATGTATTTACTAATATACTCAACTTTTACTATGCAATAAAGTGTTAGGCGTTGTGTCTTTCTCTCTTTGTGTGTGTGTGTGGTGAGTGTGCGTGTGTGTGGGCGGGAAATTTGAATTTAGTTACATTCTAACTCAAAGTTATATACATATTTATATAGCCTTGACACAAGCAAGATTTATATACTTATATATATACTTTGAGCAACTGTAGCCAAGGTGATCGAGTGCCACAGGTAAATGCTCATAAATATGGACAGGTGACACACTTAAGAAGTGCACTCAGGCATTTTAATTGAAGGACGCTTGGATTAGATGTATGGTGTGCACAGCTATGGCCAAGATGAATCACCTGGGCTACCTGCCACACGATGCCTGTTGGCTAAGCTGACTGCGAGACTGACTGACTGACTGACTGTTTGTTTAGTGTGCATTGTTTATTGGCCCTGGGGCTGGTTGACATTGGCGGCAAATGGGAAAATATTGATGCCAGTTATATAAGCCTATGGAATTTGAGATGAGCCCCAGATGCTGGCTACAGTAATGCCAATGTCGCTTGCCACGCCCTAGAGTCGCTTGCGCAACATGAAGAAGAGACACTCGCAGCTAGGCCAGCTGCCAGATGGACCGGCTCATTTGGCAACACCAACAGCAACAGCAACAGCAGCTGCATGCCAATGTGATTGCATAACAGCTAAGGCAGCTCAGTTAGCTCAGTCAGCTCAGTCAGCTCTCAGCTCTTAGCTGTGTTGTAAAGATGTGCGCCTTGCTTGTTTATGGCTGTTAGCTTTAGCTGTGGCTGTGGCTTCTGCTATTAACTGAAATATTTGTTGACTGCATGCCAAACTGGTTATCTTCGGCTGAAGACTGCGCCAGCCGATCGCAGCTAGAAGCATATGTGAAGAGCACCTCTTGGCTAGGGCGCCATTATCATCATCATCATCATCATCATCATCAGATGAGAAAGTTGCTGCCAATGCAAATACAAAGACAAAACCAATTTATCTCCGTTAAGATACAAGTCCAAGCAAGGCTTCACATGCCAGAGAAAGCGACACAGTTGCCAAAGGGCCTCTAGTCGTCCCCTTGACTTTAACAGACTCGCAAAGCGCTCGAGTGAAATTCAAGGGCCTAAACATGATACAGAAGGCAATGCCACAAATAGGGAAAGTCTAAAACGAGTTGAGGATCAGAGATCTCGACATTGGATAGTAGCCCTTGTAGGTCTTCCCATGGACAAGAAATGATTTTGTATGATAGAGAATATCAGTTGAGGCAAGTCGAGTGATAAAGTCAGAGTTACAAAACTGAACAATTTATATCAGATTTTTTTTTATTTTAAAAGAAAACGACAAAAATTCAAAACCTTTATCAATCATTTTAAAAATTGAATAGTTTGTGACTGAGATTATTTCAAAAATATTTTCAAACCAAACAAGAAAAATTAACAATGTTTATCATTAGATTTTTTCCAAATATATTTTTAATTAACTTCAACAAATCTGACAATTGCTAAAGTACCTCATTTCTGTCAAATTTTTTGTAGTGTCAGATTAAAGTCATTGCAAAAATCCATGAAATATGAATGCAATTGAAAGTTGAAAACTTATAGAGCCTACAATTGCAATGCAGACGACGCTTGGCTTTCATGTGTGGCTCCAGCAATTGGATTTTCGAGTGGATGGCTCGCAGGCTATCAAAAGCTGTAAGCGCGGCGCTTGGCATGCGCAACATCGTCTATGGCCTTTCRAATGAATGAATAATTAACGGCAGTTTTATGGGCCCAAATTAAACCGTTTCGACAGCCAGCTGCATTGCTTACTTGTTTTTTAACCGGTTCAACCGGGTATTTAGCAAACAATGCAAGTAGCATGAGCGGTTATGAGGTAGGCGCGATTACGACTTGGAAAGTTGTGATAAGGCACTTAGAGGAAAACCCATTAACAGAATATTATATATGCCCATATGTCTCAAGAGGTACGAACTAGTGCGTGATAATATGTAATTATGTAAAGATATCTGAAGAGTCCAACCTTGAACTGCGAACTAGTTTCTGAAGTTTCTGGAGATATTGGATCTTGAAGTTATGAACTAACCTATATATGTACATGTATCGAAATATATAATATAATATATGTATA